TATTGAGGAACACATTACTCTGCAGAGCTGGACAACAGATATGCAAGGCTGAACATTTATTTATTTTAAGCCGTTTTGTTATCAAAAAATCGGACTACCCCCTTTCCAAAAATACATGTGACAAAATTCCAAATATGAAATTTATGGCGCAATGGGTTAAAGACTTGTGCTCGCAGGACTACTGACTAACAGGTTGACAGTTCGAATCTGGTGAGCCGGGTGAGCTCCCGTCTCAGCTCTATCTTCTTCCCATGCACGGACATGAAAGAAGCCTCCCACAAGATGGTAAAACACCAAACATCTGAGCATCCCCTGGTCAACATCCTTGCAGACAGCCAATTATCTTACACCAGAAGCGACTTGCAGTTTCTCAAGTCTCTCCTGACACACACACACACAAACTGTCAGGGAAGCCAGTCTGGAAATGTGGACTCATTAATTCCAGGCTGAAACCTTTCCTATGTGTATAGTAAAAGACCTTTAACAGAAAGAACTGCCCACAGTTTCAAAGCTATTACACCCATAATCCCCAAGAATCACTTATGAGATTTACACAGCCCCCTTCATAATTCCTTGTGATATCAACATATATGTTTATTAATAAAGAGAACTAGTTGCTCTAAAGCCCCCATATCTGCACTCATACAGTCTAGTGCTTATCTCTTAGAAAACTAAAACAATATGATGTGCCTGTGTGTATACCTGAAGGGTTTTTCAGGTTTCCCACCTACTGTTAGGTTGGAGCTATCAGGAAATACCTGTGGATGTAATGCCATCATGTGAAATTATTTTCCAGCTTCTCAAGGGGGTCTGGAGATGAGTTGCTGCCAGACATCAGTGCACAGATTAACTCTAAATACTTTTCATTGGATTGTTTGTTTTTATATAAAAACCCATTGTGTTCTCTGGAGCTCACCCTTTGTGTAAACTGAAATGGGCAATTAATCTCATAATGAACTGTTCCACCGGTCTGCATCTTTCTCAGGGCAGACCTTCCAAATGATCCACTAATAACAGCCGTTTATTTTTCCCACCAGGGAGCAAACCCCGTCCACCGGTGATATCAGGAGGAATCCCCAGTGCACAAATGCCCAGATCCCAGCTGGGCCAACTTTTCAGCCAATTAAGGGGAAGGTGCAGATATTTTGAATGGCTGTCAAAGTGAATAAAATGTTCTGTATTTTGCTGCATGCTTTATGTTAGATTCTTTGAGGGGGCAGAATCTGTATCTGACATCTTTCCAGGTCAGAAAGTAATAAAACTCTGTTCCTGTTGCCTTCAAACCCAGTTTGTGTCTTGATCTGGCCTTTTGGAAGTAGTGAAACACACTACTGCTTTTTTGCTGTTAAATCTCTTATCAATTTGAACTTTTATCAGCCTTAAGTGTTTTAGTAATGACATACTTTGGTCCTGTGTTCTGACAGATGTCTAAAATACATGCTTTTCAAAATAAAATAACTTATTTGGTTTTTAAAAAACTTTTGTAAAATTAGAGGAACTTTGTTTTAAATTGCTGCAAGTTGCTTTGGTTCCCACCAGTTTACGAAGCAGTGGTCTAGGAGACTTCTGTTGAGGATGAAGACCTTAAGGAGGTTCCGGGGTTGGAATTTCCCTCCCTATAAATACAATGTCACCTCTATTAGATTAGTTCAAACTCTTTGAAAAGAGAACGGCAATATTCCTGTCCGTTCTCTAGTAAAATGGTTATTGTGTGTCTTTGACTAGTGATGCTCTCCTGAGCATGCAGAACACAGCATTCTCTATTTTCACATGTTCTTCCAAAAATGTTCTGCAGGACCAAAAATGTCCCAATTTTCTTTTTCAAATAACTCTTCTGCAAAATAGATCACTATCTACCACTTAAAGCAAAATGTGGGACATGGTGTTTTTTAAAACAATGATCTTAGGACAGAATGGCCTTTTCCTCTAAGATGCAAAAGATCAAGCTAATGAACTGACAGAACTACAGTTGCTTCTACACTGTAGAATGCAGCTTGAAACTTTGATTATCATGGCTCAATGCTATGGAATCATGGGATTTGCATCTTGGTGACACTCTTTGGTAGAGGCCAAGGGCCCATCCAGACAGTCCCTATATCCCAGGATCTGATCCCAGGTTTTCTTTTTATCCCAGATTATCTGTCAGTGTGGATTCATATAATCCAGTTTAAAGCAGAAAACCTGGGATCCGATCCTGGGATATAGGGCCTGTCTGGAAGAGCCCTAAGACCTTGTAAAACTACAATTCCCAAGTTTCCATTGCATTTGGCCATAGCAGTTAAAGTGGTGTTGACTGCATTATTTCTTCAGTGTAGAGGTACCAAGACAACCTGTTTGGGGATGTTTAATGGAGTGCCAAATATATATTTGAGCTCCCCTTATGCTTACTGTATTACATATCAGTATTGGTCTTACAACAGTATTTTATATCTTTGCTCCCGTTCCTTCTAAGAAACTCAAGCAGATGTAAATCTTATTAACATCTCTTATTAACACCAGCAAAATTCAATTTTAAGGTTAGGATTTGATTACAACTTTAGAAAGAGTAACTGATAAGCGTAACTCAAAGACAGCTATATCCAGAAATTAACTCAAGGTCTCTGAAATCCAAATTCAGTAGAAGTCAGTTTAGCACAATTGCACACAGAATTTTGATTTCAGGTTAGCATTGCAATCTCATTGAATTACTTTGTTGGAGCTCTCAATGCTATATTCTAGTAGCATCACTGAGCAGGTGCAGAAGGTGTGGGTTGCACCAGATAACCTCATCAGAGTACATGACACCAACTATATAGTTGGGAGAGAGGCTGGATGGCCTTCTGGCAGGAGTGCTTTGACTGTATTTTCTGGCATGGCAGAATGGGGGTGGACCCTTAGGATTTCTTCTGACTCTATGATTCTAAGTAAAATATATACTTATTCAACATGTTGTGGTGTTTCCTAGAGTTCTGACCAGATTTGATGGACTTGTTTGAGTGTTTTACAATGATGTCCATAATACATTCCCCCTCAATGGATTGTCAAGTTGTGGTGAGGAAGCTTGTGTGTTCCATTGAACCTGCAGGCAAAACCATCAGAGTTATGTGTTCCCGTAGGGGAGGAACTGGACCAAGCACCATCAGAAGACTTCAGTGGCAGAACACGCAGATGATAACATGGTACATGTTACAATGAATATGAAGACAGAAGAAGGCTGCAACAGATGAGAAGCCACCGTCATCATGTTAATCATGTCACTGGATGGGACCCTCATTCTGTAAAGAATGTGCAATGATCGGCTGTTTACTGATCTCCACACATAAATCAAATTCATGCACAAGCGTCTTCCAAGAAAAATAAAAGAAAACCAACAGTCTATGCTGATCAGCAAGTGGCGATGTGGGCAGGACTGTGAAATCTAGAAGCCTCTAGTCACAGACTGACACATGGATGGTGGATAAGGATTCAGTCGTTCTACCTCAAGGTCCGAGGCAGCTGATTAGTCCGGCAGCTGTATCCACAACTGAGCAGCCCTTTTTAGGATCCACTTTGCTCACCCCATACAGGGAGGGGGCTAGAAAAGGTGCCCTAAGCATTGTCTGCCTCTCTTATCCCTGACTGGACTGCTGCGTCCAGCGGGATTACCACCTTGCAGCCAAAAAAGAAAGATGAACATACAGACATTGTTAGACAATACAAACAGTGAGCACCCTGAATGCAGGACTGCTATTATTTCAAGGAAGCTGAGATGCTTTAACATCTACATAGCAGCTTTTCAAGAGACAGGGAGAGCAGGAGAGGGACAGCTGAAGGGGGGGAAAAGGAGGCCACACCTTCTACTGGAAGGAACTGCCTGAAGAAGAACAAATAATGCATGGCTTTAGCCCCACCTACTGCCCAAATGCATCCTTTCCCAAACTGAAATGTGATGCTGAAACAAAAAACAAAAAAACCAATTTCTTTTCCAGGGACTTATTTTATGTTAGCACCCCAAAGTGGAAATATCTTTGTGTTGGAAACAGTGGCTGACACCACTAATTTTTTTAAAATGATATAAACTCTAGTTTGTACAGACAGTTTACAAGTTACAAACATCTAATTTGCAAATGACTCAACAACATAATTATACCAAAAGAAGAATTAGCAATGGGTCTTAGGTTACTGCAGCACAATAAAAGAAGACTAGTTCAACATATTCCAGATATTATTTTCGTTTGGAACTAACTGCATATTTGAAATGACAAAAACAGGCCAGGTAAGTCTTGGATAAGTAAACAAAAACATTTTGAACCTTCTAGATACGACTTGAATACTTCAAAATCCATCTAGGCATGGAGTTCATTCTCATTCCTTTTCTGTTTAAATTGTCCATGTTGTTTATATATGCTCTGTAACGAACTCTGGAAGAAGATGCTGTTTACCTTGCCCGTTGTAGGCAAGCATGGACGAATATGGAATGTACGGACATTGTTAGACAACGCAAACAGCGAATGCCCTGAATGCAGGACTACTATTATTTCAAGGGAGCGGAGATGCTTTAACATTGACAAGCATGGACAATTATAGTAGTGTTAAGTGATTTCATCTACTGCTAAGCCATAGGTTCATGAGCCCTGAGTTTCATGCAGCCAGAAGGTCGAATGAGACATATACTGCTGTTAAGGCAAGAACAGAAGTCTTTTAATCTCAATGTCCAAAGAGAATATCAGTAGAGTAGAGTATCAAACACTGACATACAGCATTGGAAAATACAGGGCATATTTATTTACTTTGGCAGCTACTCAGAATACCTGCACCAGCCTATGATTAGCTGAAAGTCAACTTGGCTAGGATCCCATTGGCTGGGAGCCCCATGCAGCGACTCTGGGGATTGGTTCTCCTGGTGGCAGGAAATTCAAGAAGCTGTCATTTGCTGGTTTGAAGCATGGGTCCATTTAAAGGTGCGCCTCCGGGAGGGGAGCAGATGTCAGGAATGTATTGATGTCAAATGCAAATAAGTTCATGATTGGCTTAATGTCTAGTTCAGGTGAACACAGATAGTCCAGAGAACATAAAAGGTGACTGGAAGTAATCAACTTCAATGGGTTAGGCTTGCCTGTAACCCATGCGCTGATGTCTAGCAAAGAAAAAAAAATCTCAATATTATCAGTGGGAGCTGGAATAGCCCAATGACTGCAGGAAGTTTTGCAATGAGATGATAGTTTATCAATGGAGGGAAGTTTCAATTGATGAGCACAGAAGAGACTGAATTGATGGGATTGGGGTGCGTATGGACCATATGAATACATTAAATGGCTTTTCTTGATCCCTGATTCATTGTGAAAGGATTGGTTAGAGTGAGTACACATATCCAGGGGCTTAGGTAGTTTTCCAAAGGTGAATTGATTAAAACAGTCATGGGGAGGAAGGAGACACAGTCCACTTTGCTTTATCAAAATTGTGAAACATTGGGAGACAATCTGCGGATATTGCAAGATTGTCCAGAAAAAATATTTAATATACTTTCATTTATAATTAGAGTTTATTCTTTGAAGGGTCCATTTTCTCAATAACAATAGTATCAGTTGGGGCAAAATCTCATTCCTACCCAATTCAAGCAATATTGCATGGTTTTCTGCACACACATTGCTGCAGACTGAGAATGAAAGTCTGTATTTCTCTAGACCTCCTTCACCATCTTCCCAGTGCCCAAACTGCTAAAACTTTCAACTAGACAGAGAATGAGGAGGAAAAACAGCATTGGGCAGCCATTAAGAAGACTTTACAAACAAGCTTTTTTTCAGATGCTTTGTTAATTGATGCATGCCTGTACTTATTTGTTCACTTTTGGTGCATTTGTTAATTCTCTTTCAAGATTGCAGTTGGTATTATCAGCCAAGTTTTGAATTAGATTACTTGATCCTGCCACAAATGGATCTGAACTGTTCTTGTTTCCCTGATGACTTCCTTCTGGGTTTGAGAACTTCTTCCTGTTTAAAGAAAAAGAATGTTATGTTAATAACCTTTTAAAAAAAAGTAAACACTAACAACAAGGCGACCATCAGGTTGCTGTAAGTTTTCCGGTCTGTCCGGCCATGTTCCAGAAACATTCTCTCCTAATGTTTCTCCCACATCTATGGCAGGCATCCTCAGAGTTTGTGAAGTCTGCTGGAAAGTTTATATGTCTGTGGAAGGCCCAAGGTGGGAGAAACAACTCTTGTCTGCTTGAGGCAAGTGTGAATGTTGCAGTTTGCCACCTTGATTAGCATTGAATGGCCTTGCAGCTTCAAGGCCTGGCTGCTTTCTGCCTGAGGGAGTCCTTGGTTGGGAGGTGTTAGCTAACCCTGATTGTTTCCTGTCTGGAATTCAACTGTTGTTGTTTTGTTTTTGGTTTTTTGGTATTGCTCTTTATTTACTGTCCTGATTTTTGTTCATTTTCATGGTTTCCTCCTTTCTGTTAAAACTGTCCACATGCTTGTGGATTTCAATGGCCTCTCTGTGTAGCCTGACATGGTGGTTGTTAGAGTGGTCCAGCATTTCTGTGTTCTCAAATAACATGCTGTGTCCAGGTTGGTTCATCAGGTGCTCTGCTATGACTGACTTTTCTGGTTGAAGCAGGAAGCAGCCAGGCCTTGAAGCTGCAAGGCCATTCAGTGCTAATCAAGGTGGGAAATTGCAACATTCACATTTGCCTCAAGCACACAAAGGTTATTTCTCCCACCCTGGACATTCCACAGATATATAAACCTCACTTGCCTAGTTTCCAACAGACCTCACAACCTCTGAGGATGCCTGCCATAGATGTGGGTGAAACATCAGGAGAGAATGCTTCTGGAACATGACCATACAGCCCAGAAAACTCATAGCAACTCATGAAAACCTTCAACAACACAAGACCAACATCCTTAACTAATATGAACACTAGAGGCATTTTTGAACAATATAATTCATTTTAAAATAATACTGCGAACTTGGATAAGACTAAGCTGGAGATGGAAGCAGGCATGGTGTTACTCCTCTGTTTGCGGAACAGAAATACATAACTCAGTTGTGAACATTACTGGCTTTTGTCAGCTTAATGGACTGCATGCAATTTCCTTTAATGCATCTATTAACCTCTCTTATATCCAGATTAATACACCACTGTGTAGTTCATCATTTATTGCTTCTTTCTAATCACTTCTATTTCCTGTCTGGTAAACTGTATTTAACTGTTTCACACTGTTTCTCCTTTTATTTATGTGATTATAATAAAAGCCTGCATAGTGTCATCTCAAAAATGAACTGTATGGATTTTCATGTGGCTTACTACTATTTTTTACACTTTATTTATATTCCATTTTATCTTCCTGAAGGGACTCAGAGCGGATTACAATAAACATATGAGGCCAACATTCAATGCCTTTTCAACACTGACATATCTGGCATCTGAAGGCAATGCTCAACTCTAGCCATGGGGAGGTGTTTTTGTATCATTTTTTCATGCTAAGGAGTCTGTTGTTCGTAGACATCTCCAATTGCATTGATAGCATGTCTGCATAATCTGCATGGGGCACCCTTTTATCTTCCTGCTGAGGCAGTACCTATGGATCTACTTGAATTGTATGCTTTCGAACTGCTAGGTTGTCAGAAGCTAGAGCTGACAGTCAGGAGCTCACCCCGACTCGCGGTTTTGAATTACCAACCTTCCAGTCAGTAGCTTTCCTGCAGCTAGTGGTTTAACTCGCTGTGCTACCATGGCTTTGGGTTTTCATCAAGAGAGAAAAGTGGAACAATAATAATAAGACACAAATTAATCTAGTTTGGTACTTTCATCCCATCTGTGTATATAGGTAGCAGGCATGTAGCCGGGGGGGGGGCTTGAGGGGCTTCAGCCCCCCCCCCCGAAATTCTCAAGGTGGTTCACGAAAAGGCCTTACTGGTGCATTATTTAAACTGTTATGTTTATTCATATCATGATCTGATCACCATACTCAATATATCCCATATGCATGGGGGTATTGGGGTAATGATACAAAAGGTTTGCTAGGCTAGACCCTCTTTCACTCAGACTCCCCCCTCAAACTCAGCCCCCCCCCAACCCCCCCCTGAAAAAAAACTCAGCCCCCCCCCCCCCCCAATTGAAATCCTGGCTACGGGCCTGCTAGGTAGGTTTAGCACTGTGGCCACAAAACCAAAAAGATGAAGAGTGAACCAATTCATCACTATTTCCCCTGCTGCAATGAAAAGGAAGAAGAAAGATATTCAGAAACTTCAAACAAGGAGTTTTTCTTTTAAAATACAGTAGCACGCGTACACACACACACACACACTTCCAACCAAAAAATCAAACTACTGGCAAGGCAACAAGTGCACTCTATGGCCACAAATGAGGTATGACAACACAAGAGAAGAACACAGATAATCTTGGTATGTTGTCATGTAGGGCCCTTCCACACAGCCCTCTATCCCAGAATATCAAGGCAGAAAATCCCACATTATCTGAATGTGGACTCAGATAACTCAGTTCAAAGCAGATAATGTGGGATTTTCTGACTTGATATTCTGGGATATAGGGCTGTGTGGAAGGGCCCCCAGTTGGCATATGCATTCTCCATCAAAAGTGAGTAACACGGGGAGGGTATACCATGGGCGTATCCAGGGCTTCATATTGCATCTGTCTTGATTGGAACAGCAGTTATATTTGTATTTTAGCTTAGTTTTTGGTTCATTCCATGTTGTTCCACATCTCTTCACATCTTTCTCTGTGCAGCTTAACATAAATTTCTCCAAACGTTTCTCTGGGATTAAGGAGAAAAGAGAGAGCCATTGTTATATAGGTACAGTTGATTATTCTGTGGAGTGTGAGGTCATGCGTGTTGACAGAGGACTTTTATTCATTCCAGATATCCACATTATTTACTTTGAACTGGATTGTACAAGTCTACACTGACATATAATCCAGTTCATAGCAGATAATCTGGATTTTATCTGGCTGTGCAGATGGCGGTTCCCAAACTCTTATCCCTCCGGTGTTTTTGAATTCAGCTTGCAGCAGCCTCAGCTACTTTGGCTAATGGTCAGAAATGAAGTCCAAGTGCCCGTCCAGACAGTACCTTTATCCCAGGATCTCCCACAGCAAACAGATGCCGTTCCCTGTAAATGTGGAAGCAATCTCTACAAAAGGCAAAAAAGCAAGATTTCCAGGTGTGTGAATATTGTGGTTTTGAGTTGAATATGCTTTGAATGCAATTTTCCTGCTTTTTGGCAGGGGGTTGGACTGGATGGCCCATGAGGTCTCTTCCAACTCTGTGATTCTATCTTCACAGGTCTGTATGTCCCTGCAATCGGAAATCACTGGATTTTTTTTTATCTGGGTTGGTTACTGGGTTTTAGATGTTCGTTCCTGATTGGTCGGTTCCTAAAAAGGTGACACTTGAGCAGAAGGCAAAAACTTTGTATGCCAGAAACTTCATGAAACATGTGGAGGGCACATGCAGATTAAAACTACCAATAAAATGCAGGTTAAAATTTTTAAGCTAAAATTGACTGGGTAGGCCAGCCACAAGAGATGAGTTTTCAATTCCAAAAGCTGATTTAGCTGTGGCATCTATCTTGGCAGGTCACACATTCTATAAGTCCGCCCTCCTGAGCAGCCAATTCCATTTATTTTCCAGTCCCAATTCAAGGTGCAGGTTCTCACCTACAAAGCCCTGAACGGTTTGGGACCCGCCTACCTGCATGACCGCATTTCTGTGTACGAACCCACATGATCTCTCCGATCATCTGGAGAGGCCCTGCTCACACTCCCGCCTTCTTCGCAGGCACGATTGGTGGGGACGAGGGAGAGGGCCTTCTCGGTGGTGGCCCCTCGACTCTGGAACTCACTTCCCAGGGACATCAGACATGCCCCAACATTGGCAGTCTTTAGGAGGAGCCTGAAAACGTGGATGTTCCAGTGTGCTTTCCCAGAATAAGGAGATCTCTCAGTAATATGCCCTCATAATGCACTTTAATACTGACTTAGGATGGATTGCGTTCCCTCATTTCTCTCTGAAAATCCTATCCCAGTTATATTTTACCTTGTTCACATCAGCATATTTTCATTTTAATCTATTACATTCATCCCAGCCATTTTAAATTTGTTATATGTCACCATTGATTGTTTTTGTTTATGWGATTTATATGATTTGTATTTTATTGATCGTTTATTAATGTTGTGTTTATTGATGTTTGTTTGATGTATCTTGGGCTTGGCCTCATGTAAGCCGCACCGAATCCCTTGGGGAGATGGTAGTGGGGTACAAATAAAGTTTATTTWTTATTATTATTATTATTATTATTATTATTATTATTATTATTATAGAATAGGCCCAAGGCAATGGATGTCCTTGAGGAAGAATCCTTACCCCCATAGATTTCCAGGGTGACACACACACCATTGTGAACATGACAGGTAGCTTTCAGAGGAATGCATGGTGCCAGCGGCCAAGCAGACATACAGTTTCGGCAGATCAAGGCATCTGGTGCTAGAGAAACAGAATATACATATAGGTATGTATTGTAATTTCTCCCTGGGCTCATCTCGCTTACCAAATGACTGCTCATACCACAAAAGTGTTTTCTTTACAGTGCAGTTCCTACAGTGCCTCTCATCCAGTGGTCCCCAACCTGTGGTCCATGGACCACCAGTGGTTCACAAGAACTAAAATATGGTCTGCAGCCTCACCATTACTACATGGTTACAACGAGCGCAAATGGTCTCACAAAACCTTCTTATAGTGCCAAGGCAACTGGGCTGTCAGGAGGGTAGAAGCTAACTACACACTAAAGTTGCGAGAACAAGCCTCCTGAGTCTGACTGCTGTTTCTCCTCAAATTATCAATGAAAAATAGTTAAAATTTATAAAGGCAAAATTATTTAAAGACTTGGCAAAGTAGCACTGGAGCTTCATGCACATCTGAGAGTCTCCTAATAGCACAGTTGATCCTCCGCATTGGCAAATTTGACTTTTATGTATCAGCAGACCTAGGAATCTATCGGTTCTCTGGTATGATATGGAAGAAGTTGACCATTGTGTCATGCTCAAAAAGCTAGATATTCCTAGAGAGGTGATCTCTCAGGTAATACAAACAGCAATTTTATTAAATGTAGTTTCTCACTTTTGCATGAATCCTGTGTTCTCAAATGTGAAGGGTTGACTGGAGAGATCTTAACTGATTCCAACCAAGTATCCAAGCCAAAAAAAATGCGTATGCTTTGATAGATAGATAGATAGATAGATAGATAGATAGATAGATAGATAGATAGATAGATAGATTGATAGATAGATAGATAGATATAGATAGATTTCTGTTATCCATAAATATATCATAAAATTTAGAGAATTGAATGGAGAATTGGAATACATAATTGGAATATGCATTTTTGACATCTATAATTAGTGTGCTATAAATCTCTGACTGCATCAATGTATGGGAAAAGGGACGTAAGAAATAATTATGATGATGATATATTATATAGTAGAAATTGCTCTGAATATTGAATATATTGGTTGCTACATTTACAACGGCTGCATGCAGTCATGCCAGCCAAATGACCTTGGAGGCGTCTACGGACATTATTAAAATGTTTATATCCTGTCCCGTATCATAGTTCTCAGGACAGTGTAAAATAACAGATGAAACAAAAATTCTGCATCTTCTCTCCATTTCTCTAGCTGCTGAAACAGAGCCCCATTTTTTCACCTGATGCAAGGCAAGATCCGCCAGGACTCAGTCGGGCTCCATTTTGACAGTGTAGAGAAATGGAGCCCAGAGTGCCTTTTGAGGAGTCGGAGAATATGAAGAGGAAGCTGAGAAACAATGGGAAAGGGTAAAAAACTGCATGAGATGGGAGGCCATCCCAGAAGACAGGGAACAAAGGTGGACAGTTTCCTCAACTTTCTTCCGCTTTCCCTCTCTTTTGCCCTGCCCGTCTGGTGAAGTCCTATTTATTTTTTATTTATTTCAAGCATTTATATCCCGTCCTTCTCACCTCCGAGGAGGGACTCAGGATAGCTTACAACAGGGAACCATCGGGTGCTGACACAGTACATTAGAAATCAGATACAATTATAAAACATTCAATTTTAAAACAGTTCACTGGTTCAAATCATAGTCCAGGTCAATCCATTGTGGTTACTAAAACAATCCCTTCCCAGTTATTCCATCTATTGTTCAAAGGCTTGACCCCATAGCCAGGTCTTACAAAAGGTCAGGAGGGAGGGAGCAGATCTAATGTCATTGGGGAATGTTCCACAGCCAAGGAACCACCATGGAGAAGGCCCTGTCTCTCATCCCCACCAGACGTGACTGCAAAGGTGGTGGGACTGAGAACAGGGCCTTCCCAGATGATCTTAACATCCTTGGTGGTTCGTAGAGGGAAATACCTTCGGACAGGTAAACTGTCCTAAGAGCATATTGAACAATTTAACATATTTAAACAGTCAGTAGCAGAGCAAGGAGTTATGGCATGGTAACAGAGGCAGCTATGCTGGGTCTGGGATTTTGGGACTTGTGTAATCTGTGACATACTCTCCACTTTTTAAATCTATAGAGCAGGCATGTAGCCGGGGGGGGGGGGGGGGGGGGGGGCTTGAGGGGCTTCAGCCCCCCCCGAAATTCTCATGGTGGTTCGCGAAAAGGCCTTACTGGTGCATTATTTAAACTGTTATGTTTATTCATATCACGATCTGATCACCATGCTCAATATATCCCATATGCATGGGGGTATTGGGGTAACGATACAAAAGGTTTGCTAGGGTAGACCCTCTTTCACTCAGACTCAGCCCCCCCCCGAAACTCACCCCCCGAAACCCCCCTGAAAAAAAATCACACACACACACACACACCCCCGAAACGAAATCCTGGCTACGGGCCTGCTATAGAGTTCATGTAGATGCCCCTCTCCTCTAAACTATAGAGCCCTTCCATGGCATCCAATAATAATTAATTAGCTGGGGTTGATTTATAGTGACCCTATAAATTTCTCATGTTTTTTTTTAAACAATGAATATTCAAAAGTGGTTTTGCAAGTTCCTTCCTCTAAAATATAGCCACAGCACCTTGTCTTTACTAGTGGTGTCCCATACTGACCAGAGCTGACTCTATTTAGCTTCAAGTATCAGACAGGATCTGGTACATTTTGGGTATGCAGGTAGAATATTCCATAAACTAGAGATTGTTGAGATTTGGAACACACTCTCAAATGAGGTAAGATCTGCTCCCTCCCTCCTGGCTTTCAGAAAGAAATTAAAATCATGGCTTTGGGACCAGGCCTTCAGACAGTAGATGTTTGTAGAGTTTAAAGGACATGGACTAGAATGGCAATACTAGTGTATTGAATATAGGAACACAGAACAACGGATTATGAGATTGGATCTTGATTCTACCTATGAGACGCTAATGAGATGTTATAGTTATGTTTAACTGATTGTTTATTATATCATTGTTTTTAACTGTTTTTAACTCTTTTTTGATGTTGAGCATTGCATTTTGCTATTGTTAACCGTTTTGAGTCGCCCAAGGGCTGAGAAAAGCGGTATATAAATGAAGTAAATAATAAATAAATAATTTTAGAAGACATGTATTTGTATATATGTACATGAGATATCTTTGAAAAGGAATCCAAGTCTCAATATCCAAAACACTTTTGGTTCCTAGCATTCTGGATAAGGAATGTTCAACCTACAGTTCCCAGTAGCCCTAGATGCTAAGCTATGCCCTTGTATATATTCATAGATATGTTTGATATACATTCCACCTTTCTCATGGAACTGAGAATCAAGTTAGCTAAAATTATTGAGAGATGGGTAGCCGTACAGTGATAAAGTTGCATAGTAGTTGAAAAATGCTTGCTCAATAGTGAGGAGTGCCATGGTGCATTAAAATATATAAACATAAACATGTATACGTCACCAGTGAAAATCTAGTAAATGTAAACATTAAAACACAATTAAAAAACAGTTTAAAATCACCAATTAAAATAGTCACAAAAATTAACAAAGTATAATATAAACACTCCAACTTTATCAGTTGGTTAGTTTCTAAAAGCCTGCCTGAATAGACAATTGTGAATTACTGTTATTACTGTTCATAAAGAGCCTATGTAAGGGACAAAATAATGCATGGCCATACCGTTTTCTGTCTTTCAGGTGGGACTTACCTCTTCTCATGAGGCACAGGAAAATATAAACTGTGAGTAGCCACCAGCACTGAGCCATATGTCCTCCAATGTGAATTGATGAAAATCTACCGCACTCATCAGACCTTTGGCACTGAAGGAAACAACAACTGGCTGCTCCTGAAAAGCTGCTTTTTATCTACAAAACATGCCTATGCTCCAGAGATCAATGTGTCCATATGGAGGTGGAACAAGAATTGGGTTGATGGGCCTTGATAGCATTGCATGTCTTTTAAGAACTGCCTAACAGTTCTTAGGCAGCCTCCCCCTCCCGCCGACCAGGAGGAGAAGGAAGCGAAGCCCCGCGGCTCTCCATCGCCAACCAGGGGGAGAAGAGAAGGAGCGAGGCCCCACAGCTCTTCATCGGGCCTGCTAGGCCCCATCTCTCAGCGCCCCTCCCGCCGATCAGGGGGAGGAGGAGAAGAGGACAAGGCCGGCAGCTCCCCTCCGGGCCTGGTAGGCCTCACCGCTCTGCCTGCCTTCCTTCGTCGATCCGGGAGAGGAAGAGTAGAGGACGAGGCCGGCAGCTCTCATCTGGGCCTGGTAGGCCCCACCGCTCCGCCCGCCCTCCTCCCGCCGATCAGGGGGAGGAGGAGAAGAGGACGAGGCCGGCAGCTCCCCTCCGGGCCTGGTAGGCCTCACCGACCTGAGTTGGGCCCTGGCCGCCTGGGCCTTTACCATCTTTTATCATCTGGGCCTTCACCATCTGGGCAAGCCGCGTGTAGACCTTTTGTGCCGACCTTTTCTGTGTGGACCGATATTGTGTAGACCTTTTGTGCTGACCTTTCTCTGTGCTGACCGACATTGTGATAGACCTATTGTGCTGACCACCGCCGTGTTGACCATCTCCGGAAGACTGAGAGACTCATTCGCTACTTTACATCAGCCGTCTATAGATTACACCTTGAATCATAACTTGTCCAAACTGATATCACTGCCAATCTCCTTAATACTGTGTTTATTTATAGCTAACATAGCACGTTCCTTGTCTACCTTGCTGCTAATTGTCTACCTTGCTGCTAACTGGTACTAAGAACGCAATATAGCACCTTAAAGCGCCTGCCTCTTTTGCTGCTAAAACGTATTAGCACTTACGCTCCCTTCCCCTATCCCTCCATGCCGCACTTTATATAGCGCTGAGGACCAGATCTGGGTATTTATCACACCTTAAGAGCTTGCACTTTTTGAATTGCCCTAGTGGCACGCGGCGGTGACGCCTACTGTGTTGCACTTTAAGACGCTTGCACTTTATGAACTATCGAACTATCGCGGCTGAGACGCTTTGTCATTTTCAATCTTATT